TGTATGGTAGGGGTATGCTCTGTTATGAACTCACGATGCTATGATTATCTCACTCAGCTATGAGCTGACCCTCTTTATCCTTTTTCTCTGCTTATGCCATGTGTAAGCAGATTATCAGTAGTAGCAGTAGCAAGTACTTAGGTGTGGGCAGAGCGAGGAGTTGAAGGCAGGATGAGGTATTGTCTTCAACTATTTTGTGCTTGGACTACTACTCGGGATTTTGGCCAGTGATCCACACCTTTTTGTAAAAAGGTTTTGAGAACGTTTTTCATGTGCATACTAGCTTCTTATGTAGTGTGAGATATCCATAGGTGTGGAAAGTTGATGATATGTGTATATTTATGTGGTTGTGTAAGTTATGACGACTATGATATGTATTAGTAAGGTATGCAGTTGTGGAGTATGAAACTGTGCCTATGGCTATGAAAGCCAATGTATATGGTTGTGAGGATATATGTTTATTTATGGATGCAGGGATTCAGATAAATTATTTTGTAGGTTTTAGTTACAAGAACTGTTAGCCCATTACGCGAGTAATTCATATCGAAATTTTATTTGGGTAAATTTTGATAATTAGTGTAACACCCGAGATTAATTCCGCCGCAATTGTATGAACAATATGATTAGGCAAAACGTATAGGGTAGGGTGTTACACACGGACTCATACTCTCCCGGATAAACCCCTTCTTTAAGAGTTCCTCAATTTGTTCCCGTAAGATCTCATTCTCCTGGGGACTCATGCGATAATGAGGTAAATTTGGTAAGCTTGAGCCTGGAATGAGGTCAATATGGTGTTGAATATTACGCATGGGTGGTAAGGCATCGGGTAGCTCGTCCGCTATGACTTCTTTGAAATCGTTCAAGACCTCTTGTACAGCAACCGACGGGGTGGAATCTTCTGGCATGGTGCTAAAAAAACCTTTTACTACCACAGGACATATCCATTTCGTGTCTTCGGCGGCATCAGCCAGCTCTTTTTCATCCTGTGTTATCACCAGAAAATTGGGCCTTGCCTTACCAGGCTGCTTGTTGAATCCCGAAACTGGCGCCATGGCTATTTTGTGGACTCCCCAGGTGAACATCATCACGTTGTCTTTGCCTCTGTAGGTTATGTCGTTATCGTACTGCCACGATCTTCCTAGGAGTACATGACACACATCCATATTCAGAACGTCACATACGACCTCCTCCTTGTAGTGTTTCCCAATAGATATAGGCACCTTGCAAGTCCGCGTCACCTTAACCTGCGGACCCTTGCTTACCCAGCCCAGAGAGTACGGTAGTGGGTGGGGTTCAGTGGGTAGCTCCAAGTATGCAACCAATCATTGAGACACCAAGTTCTTAGTACTCCCGTTGTCCACGATAAGGTTACAACTTTGTTATTAATAGAGCAGTGTGTTCGAAATAAACTCTTTTGGTGCCCTTCATCAGTAGCCGACAACAGAATTCGTCGCAGAACAATATTCACGGTCTCCTGTGATTCTTCTTCTGCAAACTCCACCCCTTCATACTCATTGCCTTCATTCTCCTCTTCCAACTCGTCCGTCACAATAGCCGTCGTCCTCCTTGTCGGGCATACGTTAGATCGATGGCCTTGACCCCCGCATCGAAAACATTTATCTCCTATGGGTCTTGCGTACGGATTAGGTGCCTTGGGGACTGGTCCCCTGTTCGGGTTGGAGCCGCTAGCGCCACCATCACTTTTCGTTATAGGGTTGGACTCTTTTAGGCTTACTGTTTTATCCTTGTCGTTTAGAACTTCAGAATTTCCGGATGGAGGGAACTTGCGGAAAGGTGAGAAGTTCTTAGGAGACTTTTCCATCAACTCAGTCTTCAATGCTAAGGTGGAAGCTTCAGCTACAGTCCATACCGTATGCAAGCCCATCTTCTCTTGTATTGAGCTCTTCAAACCATTGATGTAGCGAGCGACCTTTTGGCCTTCAGTCTCTCCCAACTCGTTGCGTTCAGCAAAACGCAAGAATTCAGTTGTGTATTCAGTAACAGTCCTCCTTCCTTGTACGCAGTCGAGGTACATCTTGTATAGGATTTTCTCATAGTCTTCTGGTAAAAACCGTTCCATCATCAACTGCTTCATTCGCCTCCACGTTCGAATTGGTGCTTTCCTTTGACGCTGTCGTTGAACGACTAATTTATCCCACCATACGGCGGCGGTGCTCTTCAGTCGGATAGCCACCATCTTAACCTGCTTATTCTCCGGTACTCCCATCACGTCGAAGAACCTGTCGACGTCGATTTGCCAGTCCAGGAATTCCTCAATTCCCATAGTTCCATAGAACAATGGGATATCGGCCTTCACTCGATAATCGTCGCGGTGACGTTGATTCTCGTCGTCCGTGTGTTCATCTGCAATATCCTCCTCCGAGCTGGAGTCAGAATCAACCCGTGCGGCCGCGCCACCACGTTGTCTCTGCGGCCTCTCTTCTCTTCGACGCTCGTCTCTCCGACCTCTTCCTCTCCCTTCCAGGTTGTTGTTGACGCGATCAGCCAACGTGTTTACTTGCGTCGATAGGGCGGTGAGGGCAGCGGTAAAAGCCGTAGTAATACCCTCGATGTCTGCCCGTGTGATTGGTTGTTGATCTCCCATGGCTGCTCAAGCTACGAAAAGAGGCAGGAGAAAGCCTGGCTCTGATACCACCTGACGCAGTCGGAAACCTGTAAAGACTCGCAAGCGCTCGTCTATGGCAAACAAGCAAGCCTGCAAGCGCAAGCTAGAAAGAGACTACGGAATCCACCGTAAACAATACCGTAAGGTTTTATTGATCAAAGCAAAAGTGCCTTCTTCCTACGCAACACAAGGCCTTAAATAGCCAAAAACTCAACTACCTATCCTTAACCGACAATACTTAGGAACAATAAAACAACAATAAAACAATAACAATAAAACAAAATGACGCCCACAAGTTAGCTGCTCACGGCGCTAACTTTCCTCCACTCAAGCTGTTTCCTTCCCCCGAGCTGCTTCTTCAATCTTTTCCGCAAGCTGCGCTGCATCAGTATCTATATCATCTCATGTATTGGTGCACTATTTGCATGAGAGTATGAATAAAAGTTGTGATAATTTTCATCTTCTACTTCATGTTTCAATGGTGTACTTATTTCCATTTTCGGATAATTATTCACAACACAAGCGGAATTGCTAAACTCATAAACTATGAGAAGAAATCACCTGGTCAATTGGACGGCCACATTCTAGTAACTATGAGAAGAAATTTTAGGCATTGTCCCGGTACAGGGATAAATTTTGGGAGGAACCAAAATACTTTATATATGTTTATACGAAAGATGGAAAACAACACTATAGGGCCGTCCCATAATATTCGGAGGCTCTGTTCAATAATTTAAAATGTGGCCTAACATTTTTTCTCGCAAATTTATTAAAAATAAAAATTATTAAATAATAATAAAAAATTATATAAGTACAGAAAATGATTACAAAAGGAATAATATTATCTATTATTGTTCAAAAAGTAACAATCGTCTAGTATTAATTGAAATAAAATTATGTATTACCCCTTCCATCTTCTCTATATCTTTTGAAAAACGAAATCACCATCTATATCTAAAATAGCATCATCAATAAACATATCTTTGGATTGTAAATGTTTACTAACCAAATTTGCTGAGTGCAATATTTCATACATGATTAAAAATTATAACCAAAGATTAATGATTTCAAATTTTCAATCAAGAGGTGCCAGCTACGCCCACCCTGATGGATTATGTGGTCTCAATGCGGGCCTCGCCAGCAAAATGTGTCTTATTATGAGATTATATGAGGCCCAGTGTATATGAGGTTGTGGGCCTCGTCAGCCGAAGATGTCTGGTTTATGGGATTATATGAGGCTTAGTTTGGATGGACCTCCGCTTCAGGGTCTATATATTATGAGGCCCCCAAAACTTGAGGCCATGTGCTGTGAGTCTGACCAACACAGGGTCGGGTCTGAGCCGGGCCTGCAACACTATTGTATTTCGTTACTATATCACAACTCATTATTAATCATAAATTGACAATTAATTAATTATTATACAATAAATGAAATCTCAATTAGAATAGATCTCTTTTCTTTATATGCCTATTCGATTATTTGCAAGCAATTTTGAAGCAGTCCAGTGACAGCGCCGATTCCACTAGTTTTGATGGCAAGTGTCGATAAAATATTTTCAGCTTTGAGCTATCTGAAGAACGAACTTTGAAGTCGAACTCACGACCAGTTTGCTAATGGTTGTTTAGTGAGATCCATAGAAAAGGACTTACTTAAGTGTGTAGACAAAGAATGTATTGTGTGTTTCTTCCGAATATGAAAACTCGTCATGATTGTTTATGAAAGTAGTCAAAATACCAATTGTACTAGTAGTTATTTTTTATATATGAAAATAAATTATTTAGATATTATTTTAATTATATTCATTAAATATTTATATATTTATAATACGAAAAGAGGACAAAGATAATTTCAAATCCTGCCTCCGCCACTGATTTTATAGTCAGACTGTGAAGTGTACAAATACATTTAAAAGATTGAAATCAATGGATTCACAAGGAGAAGAAAATCTGTTGGTATTTTACACTCCAATGTTTCCACCACTAACATATAGAGCATCTAATGGTCACTGTGAGTCTGTGACACTGTCCATAATATGGTTAGAAAAACAAACCAGAAAGAAGAGAGGAAATAAAGACGATGAGATGAGTACATCCAGTGATCCATACCACAGACCAGAAGAGAACAAATCCGCTAAAAGAAGAGAAGAAAACAAAACTATCTTTTTCCAAAAAAACATAAAATAAATCCAGTTGGTATTTCTTAATCACGTCTCTCAAGAGCAACAGCCAACAAGGTGTTTCAGAAACGACAGAGAGCAAGAAAAAGGGAAAACGCTTCGAATACAATGCCAACCACGTTTTGCCTAAAGAACAAAAAACGGCATTTTCCCATTTTGCATCTTCATCACTAGTCATTATTCATTGAGCAACAGTCCATAATACGGCTTACGTGTACTCAGCATTAATCAAAGTCTGACATCACTGTTCTCTCGTCCCTTCCCTCAAGTTACTCCACTTCCCTCCTCCCGAATTACTTTCCCTCGCTTCCGCCATATCTCTGAAGCTGAAGAATCTCAAGCCAGCAATGGTGGTGGCGGTTGGGAAGAGGGTTCTCGATTCTGGGTGGATAGCGGCTAGATCGACGGAGGTCAAGCTCACCGGGATTCAGCTCACTACCACTAACCCTCCTTCCGTCGGTCCCAAGTCGCCATGGATGGAAGCTGTTGTCCCCGGAAGGTAATTTTTTTTTTCTGCAGAAAACAGGAAAATCCATTCGTTTTCTGGCATTTTTCTGCAGCTGTGTTTCTGAGTAAAGTTTGATTCTTTTCGGCTGTCTGCTTGTTGGGTTGGTCAGTATTGTAGTATTGGGGAAAGCGGTTTCAATGCGATTTTTACATAGATGATGAAATGCTATGCTCTTTGTACCAACTTTTAGATGCCATACAGATCACTGCTTTAGTTTTATGATCAGGAACATTGCTGAACTTCTACCTATGAATGCTAGTTATTGTTTCTTTATCTGCAATTGGTAACTGTGGCTAATTTGTGGAAGCCTTTTTTTTCTCTTTGGCAGTGTTTTGGCAACCCTTGTAAAGAACAAAGTAGTTCCTGATCCATTTTACGGACTAGAGAACGAAGCAATCCTCGATATTGCTGATTCTGGGAGGGATTACTACACATACTGGTTCTTCACAACTTTCGACTGTAAGCTGGTATGATTATGAACTGAAGATTCTTTTTCTGTTCTGATTTTTCATTGTGTCTAATTGTTTGCTGAACTTGTATGTTGACTTTTTTTATTTGGGAAATGTTGTAGTCAGCAAATCAGTTCTTGGATCTGAACTTCCGTGGAGTGAATTACTCTGCCGAAGTGTATCTAAATGGACATCAAAAGTTATTGCCTAAGGGGATGTTCAGAAGGCATTCTCTTGATGTTACTAGCATTCTAAATAGTGAGGGAAGCAACTTGCTAGCAGTTCTAGTTCATCCACCAGATCATCCTGGCAAAATCCCTCCTGAAGGCGGTCAGGGTGGTGATCATGAGGTGTGTGAAATTATTCATGCAATGCCTTTAGCTTTGAAGCAGTGAAATCATATGTAGATTTCAGTGTTAAGTAGTACTAACAAGGATTCTGCTCTATCTTGCAGATTGGGAAAGATGTCACGACACAGTATGTCGAGGGATGGGATTGGATTTGTCCCATAAGGTGGCGAATGTTGTTGGTTTTTATTGCATAATCTAGTCCAATTGCCTATTGTTTTCTTGGTTAGATGAAGAAGTTCTTCGTGTAATTTCAGGGATAGGAATACTGGCATTTGGGATGAGGTGTCCATATTAGTTACTGGGGTGAGCTTCTGTTTCTTGGTGCTGAATTTCTGTTGAAGGCATGCTTATGTAATGTTTTTCCTAATAATGCATCTCGAATTTTTTTCCTTACAGCCAGTGAAAATAATCGATCCACACTTGGTCTCGACTTTCTATGATAACTATACAAGGGTATATCTGGAAGCTGCAGTGGAGTTGGAGAATCGAAGCTCTACTGTGGCTGGGTGTACCGTAAACATTCAAGTGACAACAGAACTAGAGGGAGATGTTTGCTTAGTGGAGCATCTGCAGACACAGTACTTGGCCATAGCTGCTGGTAAATGCGTAAAATACACATTTCCTCAGGTTAGAAAATTGTTTTTTTCTAGAATGTTCATGTGAATACTTGAACAATTCAGTTGACTAATGGAACGTGAGTTGAATGAGCAGCTATTCTTCTACAAGCCAAACTTATGGTGGCCAAATGGCATGGGGAAGCAGGCTTTGTACAATGTCACCATCACTGCCAATATCGAGGGACATGGAGAATCTGATACTTGGAACCAGCTGTTTGGATTCCGTAAAATCGAGAGCTCCATCGACAAGAACACTGGTGGAAGGTTAGTTGTGATTGGTTCACCTTAGGCATTGACATTGTCTTGCTGCATACATATGCAACCTGCATGGTTTCTTAAGCTCTTGTTCTCAAGCAGGTTGTTCAGGGTCAATGGCAAACCAATTTTCATCCGAGGGGGTAACTGGATAGTGTCTGATGGGTTGCTGCGGCTTTCCAGAAAACGGTATGAGACAGATATAAAGTTCCATGCTGATATGAATTTCAACATGATCCGCTGTTGGGGTGGTGGGGTGGCTGAGAGACCAGATTTCTATCATTACTGTGACATTTATGGCATACTAGTAAGTCCAGTTCCTCCTTATTTCCCCCTCTTGTGTTTGGGACATGACAGAACGCTGGGCATTTCTCCTTTTTCTCCCCCACCCCCATCTGGTTTATCTCTGGTTTAGTACAGAAAGATCTGGATCTGTGTTATTAATGTAAAATTGGGAAAGGAAGGGATAAAACTTAGCTTCAGGTAATGTGGGTTGGAATATGGACGATTTATGAAATTTGGGTGAATCAAATATGGGTTAAAATGAGGTTGTCATATTAGCTAATTAGGCCCTATGTAATTGCTCTTTTATTAATTTGATTTAGTTAGTACACTAGTGTGAAACATTTGAACAGAAACCCGATAGACATGGAAGAAATGACTTGTATGTTTGTTTTTTCGAACTTAAGTGACAAGTTTGTCAAAACTTGTAGTTCAGTAACCCATTTGTTAGTGACCGTTTATGCAATTTGCTCAATCGAATTTGCTGCCTTGTTCCCATCCCCAGAACTAAGCCCACTGCAGGAGTTCAAAGCACTGCCTTGAGAACACAACTTATGTCTCTAATCTAATCTGTTTTCAGGTGTGGCAAGAATTTTGGATCACTGGAGATGTCGACGGAAGAGGAGTCCCTGTTTCAAATCCAAATGGTCCATTGGATCATGACCTCTTCTTGTTCTGTGCCCGTGACACCGTCAAGCTCCTAAGGAACCATCCAAGTCTCGCTCTTTGGGTAGGTGGAAACGAACAAGTGCCACCACCTGACATCAACAATGCCTTAAAGAAAGACCTGCAACTAATGCCTCATTTCCAAACCGTCATAGAAGGAGATAAAAAACTCCCAGTGTCAACAGCTCTCTGCGACTATCTCGATGGCACACGAATCTATATTCAAGGATCGATGTGGGATGGCTTCGCCGATGGCCAAGGGAACTTCACCGATGGGCCGTATGAAATTCAGTACCCTGAGAGCTTCTTCAAGGACGACTTCTACAAGTATGGCTTCAACCCTGAGGTTGGTTCTGTGGGAATGCCAGTTGCTGCCACCATCAGAGCTACAATGCCCATAGAGGGATGGCAAATCCCATTGTTTAACAAGGTTGCTGATGGTTATGTGGAAGAGGTGCCAAACCCAATATGGACATACCACAAATACATTCCATATTCCAAACCTGGCAAGGTTCATGATCAAATACTGCTATACAGCCTCCCAACAGACCTTGATGATTTTTGCCTGAAGGTATCTTTGCAGTTACCTTCTATTTGAAGTTTATTTGCTGTTGTATATTACTATCGTAGCTGATACCGACTTTTCTTTTGTGCTGTGAGCATCTCAGGCTCAACTTGTAAACTATATCCAATACAGAGCTCTTCTGGAGGGCTATAGTTCTCATATGTGGAGCAAGTACACTGGTGTCCTTATTTGGAAGAATCAGAACCCATGGACAGGTCTTCGAGGCCAGTTTTATGATCATCTTCTCGACCAAACTGCAGGTTTTTATGGCTGTCGTTCTGCTGCAGAACCACTACACGTCCAGCTAAATCTGGCTACTTATTTCATAGAGGCAAGAAATGGCTAAAAACTTCAACACAATATTTACCCTTTGATTCTCCTGCTGAAATTTATGAGCTTACCATTCACCTTTCTCACAAACAGGTTGTCAATACCCTACCAAATGATCTGTCAGATGTGGCTATAGAAGCATCTGTATGGGATCTGGAAGGAACATCCCCGTATTACAAAGTCTACGAAGACCTCTCAATTCCTTCGAAAAAGACTACACGCGTTGCAGAAATGAAGTACCCCAAGTGCAAGAATCCGAAACCAGCATACTTCCTCCTACTGAAACTCTACAACAAGTCGGATTACAGCATCTTATCCAGGAACTTCTACTGGCTGCATCTGCCTGGTGGCGATTACAAATCCCTGGAGCCATTCAGGAAGAAGAAGATCCCTCTCAAGCTCACGACACAGACCTTTATCAGTGGAACAACCTATGAAATGGAAGTCCTTGTCCAGAACAGGTCCAAGAAACCTGACCCCTCCAGACATTTGACCGACCAGAACAACTTCATCACTAAAATCCAACACAAGGCCGCTGGTGATGACTATGATGCAAACTCAGAGCTGCAGCCTGCACTAACCAATCCACAAGAAAACGAGCATGATGATGGGACACGTAAAGGTGGCTTCTTCAGAAGTCTGTCCAGGATCTTTTTCAGCGAAACTGATGGGAACTCCATGAGGGTCTGTGAAGTGAATGGCAGTGATATTGGAGTCGCATTTTTCATTCATTTTTCTGTTCATGCTGCAAATGCCAAGTATCAAGAGGGTGAAGACACCAGAATCCTGCCTGTTCATTATTCTGATAACTACTTCTCGCTGGTTCCGGGTGAGCAAATGAGGATCAAATTGTCATTCGAGGTTCCTCCAGGGGTCACTCCAAGGGTGACTCTTCATGGCTGGAATTACCCTGGTGGCCATGCAGTTCATCATTGAGCTAGGTGGGGAAGTTTAGTTGGGTTTGGAAATAAAAATGTACCCTGATTTGTTCCTGAATCCTGAATAAGAAGTATCAGTTTGATTGAATGTGTTTTATAGGTCAATCTGTAATTGTAATCATTAATTATTATTTTTTTGGTGAGCATTCCATCCTTCCTTATTTTAAGTTCTAATGAAAAATATGCCTTCTTTTTCTCTGTTTTGTGTGCCTAAACTATCGCCTAACACTAATAAATCTGTTAGAAACAAAGTTTCTAACGGTTGTAGAATTGGGGAAATAGCTAGACCAACTAGGGATTGATCAAGCTAGGGATTAGAATTAGGGATTTTAGGAAGAAGAGAGGGGAAGGTTGGCTGCCGATCGGCCAAGGAAAGAGGGGGAGAGAGAGAGAGTTCGGCGCTAGGGAGAGAGAGAGAGAGAGATTAGGATTTAGGTTTTCTGTAATTGATTGCTTAATGACAAAATAACTCCCTACTGCAGATTATATAATCCGCAAAATACCTAACTGCTACCCATATAATAAAAATACCCCAAATGATCCCCCAATTATCAAAACCGACAATAATACGAAATAATGAAAAGCTGTAAATTGTTTGTTTCTAACATCCCCGCCTCCTTGGGAAGCAACCTTGTCCTCAAGGTTGCGGCTTCTCTTGCTCTGCTCCGGGTTCCTCCGCCATCTCATCCTCCGCCTCGTCTTCCCATCGTCCCACCAAGAACATCAAGTCAGGCTTCCCGCACTTGTGACCAAAGGTAAACCGCTCGTCACAGTTGAAACACTTCCCTTCTCGCCTCTTCTGCTCGATCTCTGCGGGAGATAGCGTCCTAAATCCCTTGGGTGGTGGCCTCGGTCCCGCTCGAATGACAGCCGAAGGTGGGCCAGCCGCCGCACCCCCTCCCGAACTAGGGCCCGATGTAGCTGCACTCGCTTCGCCGCTCGCGCCGCTACCACTGCCTCCTCCTCCGGCCGGCTTCTGATAGCGGCCTATCACGCCCCGCCAGCTAGCCAGCTCCTCCTCCTTGTTACATGCAAGACGGAAAACAGCTCGAAGTGAATCGGGCTCAAATACCCGAACAGCCGCTGCAATCTCTGGGCGGAGTCCCGCCATGCACAGACCCACCAATGTCTCCTCCGGTACGCCCTTGCACTGGTTACCCAGTTTGAAGAACTCAGCTCGATACTCCGCCACTGTCCCAGTCTGGCGCAGCTTCGCCAACTGCTCCGGGGCCCACCCTTCCGACTTGCCGAACTGATACCTCAACTCCTCCTTGAACATCGGCCAAGTAATTAGCGTCCGAGCTTCAGCATAGGTCCGCTCCATCCATTCCCACCACTGCAATGCATCCCCCTCTAAATAGAAGGACGCCAACTGAGCCTTTCGTTCCTCTCTAGTGGGATGGTTCTTGAACCACCGTTCTGCGGAGTATATCCACAGACCTGCATCCTCCCTGCCATTGAATTTTGGGAACTCAATGGTAGGAGGCTTAGCTCGGAACACCATGTCATCTTCTGCCTCACCCCCGCGGTAATAACAGGCGTGCCTCCCATATCCCGGTGCCTCACTATGATAATACTGCGAGAATCGAGGTCCCCCTTCATACTCCCACTCACCTTCCTCCTCCTCCTGATATCCCCTTCTTCGGCCCATCTCATTTCTCTGCCTCTGATCACCTGTTCCTGATCCCATGAATTCCCTACCAGTGCCTTGCTGAATCACAAACGGAGGTTGATTGCCACTAGGCTCGTCAAACTGACCTTGGCGAGCCGGAAATCCCCTGCTGCCCGTTCCCCCTGTACGCGCCGGCTGCTGCCCGGGTTCGGTTCGGGTCCGACCGGGTTCGGTCCGACCGGGTTCGACCCGACCGCTTGGGCCCCGGCTCGACCCAGCTCGGCCCGCATACTCGGCCCGGCCCGCGGGTCCCCGGCCCATGGGGCTCGGCCGACCCACCTCCCAGCCGCGGCCTGTTTCTCGCCGCTTCCCACCTGGCCCGCCTTCCAACCCAGCTCGGCCCATATGGCTTCCTTCATCCCTGCTATAGTCCTCCCCGGGCCCATTCAACTCATTGGGCCACGGCTCGTGGTCATACTCCTGCTCCAAGCCCATCAACTCTTCTTCATCCAAGCCCGTTTGCAGATCCGGTTCCACGTACTCGGCCATCTTGGCCTTGCCTCGCGCGCGCGCCCTCTCCTGGGCCGATGGGGTCGGTAGTAGCCCATCCTTGACCGATGGCCCGAAGGTGACTTGGCCCGTACGCGACCCGGTAGGTCGGCTAGGGTTGACCGCCGCCCCTCCCGTCTCGCCTGAGCCGCCCGCCCCCTTGCCCTCCGGAAGCCGCGCGGCCCCCTGTCCACCGAGCTCCACCACCACGGCGGCGCCCTTCCCTTCTGGCGGCTGGTCGCCTCCACCGCCTTTCTTCCAGGCCTCCGTCAGGCCGCTCACCTGTCCCACCAGAGCTTCCACCGCTGCCGTCAAGGCCTCGATGGTGCGGTTGTGATCCCTAGCCCTCTCCTGCAGCTCCCCCAACTCCTCCTCCACCCGCGCCTGTCTCCTCGCCTGCGCCTCTAGGTCTCTCCTCAGTTCCTCATTGCCGGTCAGATCCTCCACAGCCCCATCGACCCCGTCGTCTCCTGCATCGGCGCCCCTGTCACCCGCCTGATTCGCCTTCTCCGCTTTCTCTGCTGCCTTCATGGATTTCGTCGTTACCATCGTTGATTCTCCGGTTTCTAAGCTGTTCCTGATGGAGTTGAGAAGAACTCACCGATCGGAACCAGGCTCTGATACCAGATGTTAGAAACAAAGTTTCTAACGGTTGTAGAATTGGGGAAATAGCTAGACCAACTAGGGATTGATCAAGCTAGGGATTAGAATTAGGGATTTTAGGAAGAAGAGAGGGGAAGGTTGGCTGCCGATCGGCCAAGGAAAGAGGGGGAGAGAGAGAGAGTTCGGCGCTAGGGAGAGAGAGAGAGAGAGATATTAGGATTTAGGTTTTCTGTAATTGATTGCTTAATGACAAAATAACTCCCTACTGCAGATTATATAATCCGCAAAATACCTAACTGCTACCCATATAATAAAAATACCCCAAATGATCCCCCAATTATCAAAACCGACAATAATACGAAATAATGAAAAGCTGTAAATTGTTTGTTTCTAACAAAATCCCACAAGTCAAATGTATTTAATCAGCCTCCTGGGGAGTCCATGGCTGGTATGAACAGGGTCAGAACATGTCATAGGTAAATGGGCTGCAGATTAATACAAACCGGGTCGATTTTGAATTATGAGTTGTATAGGTTGGGTCATCATCTGCCTCCAAGTAGATCACTAAGCTTAGTTTCTCAACTTGCTGCACTTAACAATGTGGTATTCTGGACTTCTGCATGGCGTACCCTACGACTGCTCAGCAGAATCTGAAGTGCTGTATTCACTCATTGTCAAAGCAAGAGTTGAGAACAGTAAGTCCAGAAGCCGAAGACCAAGCAACCAAAGACATCAACAAAGCATGTAGATTGGTATTGAAGTTTCAAGGTTTTACAAGCAGTGAGTCAGCGTCATGGCAGAACTCATAACTATAATGTAAGATAACTGCATCCTTCCTGATCACTAACAGCTGTGTTTCCATGGCTTCAGAAGTATGAGGGATCTCTGTGGGGGATGTACACATATAAGCTAGCTACTTTGATATGACTCTCATGAATCTGTTTATAGAAGAGAAAATGCTAGCAGCTTGGCTGAATAAAGATTGACCCTCCTCGGAGTTTTCTCCTCCATTCCCAAATATTATCTGCAGATTATAGTGAAAACAACGTTGTTACTATTTCTTCTGTACCTGTTCCCTGATCTACTAAATTGATCTTTCTGGTGACAAAACTAACCTCGATATCGTCAGCATCAGGGCGCCTTATAAACTCTTTAGCGAGCAGATATCTATTAGGCCTCTCTTTGTCATCAAAAAACACCTTCCACAATCTGGTAAACAGATCAAAGTAAAGAAACATTTAGGAGCTTCAGGATGCTGATAAAAGGGAAGCATCAAGATTTTAGACCTATAAAATAATGTGCCTAGGATTTGGCTTCATTTTACCCTGGATAACACCTGAAGACAGCACCTTCTGGCAGAGGTCTCATCGAGTAAACTGTGGTGAAAGTGCTGCAACATGGCAGATTAGAGATATCAGATACGGTTAGTTCATCAATGCCATGAAACAACAAGAAAAATGCATTTTGTATCGATCTGCCTCCCATTTTACCTCAAGAAGTAGCGCCTGAGATTGCGAACATTGATCCCAACTCCAACATCTTCACTAATGAGGCGCGGATTCCACATGATGAGTGGCCTTGGCTGGATAGGAGACCATAAATACAATCAAGAATCAACAAAATGCATACTGATGAGGTCATGAGGATGGGTGAATCCAATTTAAGCTAAACTGTTGTACCGGATCGTCTGAAAGACTAGCTGTGATTTTCTCCACAGATGAGAGCATTTGGTAATCAGGAACAACCATAACCACAATCTCATCTTCGCTATCAACTGGCTTCCTGTCGCCCAAGCTGATAATAGAGAACCACTAAACTTGAGTCACAAAATTTGTTTCAACATCTTCAATATACAGGGTGAAATGGAATCCATGATGGGGAAGACATGTTGAAAACTGGACTTACCTAGCAAATCCAAAGGCTGCTTCTTTCCATCTGTACTTGAGAAGTGCAGCAGCACCAGCATCTGGGAATATGGCTTTCACTCTCTGAAACATCAAACCAAGCCTTTCACAATGTTATCACTAGAAGGTAAAAGAAATATTGAAAACTTCAAAAGTTTTTGTAAATGATGGGTGAACTGGAACCTGGGTTCCTGTCTTTTCCATTAGGGTTTCCACGAAAACCCTTGAGAGATCCCATAGCTCAGCTTGTGCACCTTCATCATCAAGAAACTGAAGCTGTGGGATCAAAAGCTCCACCTACAAAAATTTGTTGCCACCAAAGGGAAACATAACACCTTTCTTATCATATGCCGCCAAAAACTAAAAATTGGCCAAGCTATTGAATGGGGACATACATACTATTGCTCTCATTCCTCCTGAAGACACAAAAGTGGCACTTGCTTCCCCAGATTGCCTCACAGCATCCACCAAATCTGAAGGCAGGCAGCTAGGGTGGAAAACAACACACAAACAGGGTTAAAAGAAGCCATGAAAACCCCCTTTTAGACAATAAGGGTCTAAAACGTCAAAGTGAGGGTGTTGATTGATTGAACCTGTCATCTTCTTCCTTTGTATCCACTCCTCCATCTAGTTCTTGTTGTTGAGCTAGAGACTGAGCTTGCAATGGTGGGTTCTCCTCAGTGGACAGCGATTCTTCTTCACCATGAAATTTCTCGAACTTGGCCCTGATTCTTGATGAAACCCTGTAGCTTCTGGAGATGGCAGAGGGAAGAAAAGATAAGGTGAAAGGAGTGGCTGTGGTTGAACAATTGGAGGAGCTGGGTAATGAAGAAGAGGATGGTGATGGGGAGTTGCAGTGAAATGAGCAGCTTGGGATTGAAGCAGCCATGTATGATGTTGCTCAGAACTTCAAAGAGCAAAATTCAACTCTAACTACGTAAACTTGTACTTCTCAAAAATATTAGACATGGGGATTCACCTGTGCCCTGCCTATGGATTAGCAGTACCCATGAATATCACTGAAAAATTGCAATCAGTATTTGTGTTTGATCATTGGTTTTCCGAAATATGTGCAAACAGTACCTGAACTTGTTTTTCAATCAATTTCAGTCACTTTTGCTTTATCAGTGTAAATGGGCCTAGTCTCCGTTACCTGACGTTTAAAAAGCCTGATCCAAAGAAGAGCCCGATAATGGGCCTAGCTCGTTCTAACTAGTAACGTATTGCTGGGACAAATTGAGGCCCGCTTCAAATTTCGGAGTTTGAAACGAAACGCTCCGTGCCTTAAAAAAATATAGCCGTTAAAGATTAAGTAAACTGTAAGCCTTCCATTTTCTTTCCAACGAATCGCATCTTTTCAATTCAAAATTTTCCCCCAAATTCGAAAACCCTATACTCCCGGTCTCTCTTTCTGATCTGCTCTCTCTCTCTCTCCCTCTCTAGCGCACTCACTGTCTCCGGCTCTTTGCTCGCTCGCTTCTCGGTTTCTTGCAACTCGCTCTGTCCAATTTTCACCTGCGGCCGTCTCTGATCCTGACGCTATGGAAGGTACTGCGTGCGTGGTTTCTCTCAACTCTTCTGGATGTCTTCGATTTTCATGGTTCCTTGTTGATCTTTGATTTCCCGAAATGGAAATGGTTCAATTTCGCTGAACAGATTCTTCTATGGTTTCTCTCAGATCCAGTGGTGGAAATTTTTCCGGAGAGTTGCTGCGGTGGTGCTGGCTCTGTTCACTGCCGGCCGGAGCCTGCTTCTTTGTCGTCTTCTTTCTCAGGTGCGTTCTCTTGCTTTCCGTCGCACATAAGAAAATATCTCCTTCAGTTTTATTTTGAGTTCCTCGGAAGTTCTCTTGAGAGGTCGTTTGGAGAATTCTCCATAGTAGTTAGAAACCCTAGGTTGCTATTTCTCCTGTTTGATTTCACTGTCCTTCTCGGCGCTCTTCATTTCTTGGTTGTTATTTTTGCCGATGTCGCTGGATGTTGCTTTTTGTTGATTGATTCTCTGCGTTTTTTGGATTCTGTGATCAGATCAAACTCCATCTGCTGAAACAAAGGAAGGAGGTAACATTGAGATTCGAGATTCTTGTGTTTTTAGTCATTGTGAATGGGATAGGGATACTACAGTGTATCTTTGTTCTCTTCATGCAATGTAACATAAATTTGTATGATCTTTTCCCCAGTATCTCTGGAGCCGATTGAGGAAGCCACCAGTTCAATGGAGGAAGGTAACTTTTCAAGTGGGAGTAAAGAGGTTTCTTCATCTCAGGAGCCTACAATAATGCCTATGCTTCAGACAATTACCAATCTGAGCACTAAGATTCAGGTAAAATTGATTGGCTGGAATTCGATTTTTGTTTACATAAGTTGGTTCACTTTAATCTTTTTGCGTTGATGGAAAAGAGGAAGAAAGGGTTCATGATTTAGCGCAAGGCAGCTTTAACATTAGTTTAGTGATCCAAACTGGTTTAATGCTTGTGGTAGTTAATCTGTCTCTTCTAACTGTTTCTTTTGACTTCAGAACTTGAAGAATGAGCATGCAGTTCTCTCAGATCAAGTTAAAAATATCTCAACGGATTTCTTTGCTCAGCCTGAACTTGTGGGTGCTCTTCAACTTCTTGGTGAGCTTTTGTTGTGATACCTTGCTTCCCCAATATCATTGTGAGGTTCCGCAAATGGAGCATTTTGTGATTTTTCAAAATTTTGGATGCCTGTAACTTCTTGTACTCGGGCTTCCGATTTGCACAAACTTTATTTCCCCTTCCAGGGGATTCGTAGGCCAAGATCTTTTATTCCAGGAACATAACCCCTGCTGTTGGCTTTCTGCACCAGGTAAAGAGCATGAACATCTAAAGAAGAAGTTTGTGCAACAGCAAGTTGAGAGGAAGAGGCTCTACAATGAAGTGATTGAGCTTAAAGGAAATATCAGGGTCTTCTGCAGGTGTAGACCACTAAACCAAGCTGAGGTTGAGAAAGGATGCAACAATGTGGCTGAATTCGACTCGTGCCAAGAAAATGAGCTCCACGTCCTTGCCGCTGATTCTTCAAAAAAGCCGTTCAAGTTTGACCATGTCTTCAGACCAGATGATAACCAAGGTAAACTTTGGATCCGATCTCATTATTTTAGAAAAAGACTAAAGTTTAGTCCTAGTAGATTTCTTAGCTCTGGATCTTCTGAATTTTGCAGAAGCTGTATTCGCCGAAACCAAACCCATTGTGACTTCAGTGTTGGATGGCTATAATGTCTGCATCTTCGCCTATGGTCAAACTGGAACTGGGAAGACATTTACTATGGAGGGTACACCTGAACATAGAGGAGTGAACTACAGGACTCTAGAAGAGCTCTTTCGTGTTTCTGAAGAACGAATGGGATTTATGAAATACGAGTTATTCGTCAGCATGTTGGAAGTTTACAATGAGAAGTTGAGAGACCTTCTAGTGGTGAACCCCAGCGAGATTTCAAAAAGGTACATTTGTTTGTCATCCTTGAACTTGTTAAATAATGGTCAGCAGATAATGATGGCTTTGGCTTTTAGGTGTTTAATATTACAAAAATCTATTGGATGGGGTTAACAGGATCAATTAACAACTTGTGTTTACATTGCATGAAGGTTGGAGATAAAGCAAGCTGCTGATGGAACTCAAGAAGTGCCGGGGCTCGTTGAATCTCATGTCTCTAGCACAGAGGAAGTATGGAAGATACTTCAGTCAGGAAACTGCATAAGATCAGTTGGTTCCACGAGCGCCAATGAACAAAGCAGCCGTTCTCACTGGTATGGTATCACTGAATCAGCCACTGTTTACATTCATCTTTTATCCTTTACCTGTATTAAGGGCCAAAACCATTTACTTCCCTGTGCAGCTTACTACGAGTCACAGTTAAAGGGGAGAGTTTAATCGACGGGCAGAAGACAAAGAGCCACCTTTGGCTCGTGGACTTGGCTGGAAGCGAGCGTGTTGGGAAAATTGAAGTTGAAGGCGAGAGATTGAAGGAATCCCAGTTCATAAACAAGTCTCTCTCAGCCCTTGGTGACGTCATTTCTGCTCTTGCTTCTAAATCAAGCCACATTCCTTACAGGAACTCAAAGCTTACTCACATGCTGCAGAACTCTCTAGGTGAATCACTTTTATTATCTCAGTCATACAGTCTTTCGAGTCAATTTAGAGTTACTAAAAGTTTTGCTAACAGAGATGGGGGTATGTGAAATGAAATGCAGGAGAGGATTGCAAGACCCTTATGTTTGTCCAGATAAGCCCTAGTTCGGCTGACTTGGGAGAGACCCTTTGCTCTTTGAATTTCGCCACACGTGTCAGGGGTGTGGAAACAGGTCCTGCGCGCAAACATTCGGATCACAATGAGCTCTTGAAGTACAAGCAAATGGTACTACCGTAAACACCACCACATTTCCTTTTCTTCTTCATCAAGTTATTTGCCACAGTAACTCAATTCCTTTGGTGATAAAATCACTTAGGTGGACAAGCTGAAGCATGACGAGAAGGAAACAAAGAAGTTGCGAGACAGTAACCACGCTTTACAGTTGCGGCTCACGACCAAAGAATCCATTTGCAGGAGTCTTCAAGAAAAGGTAATGCAAACCAAACTTAATATTCCTGTTGTCTTCTCCTGCCTTCTCTTATGGCGAAAAACTAAATGGTTTGGTTGAACATTTGGAATCAGGTACGGGAGCTTGAGAACCAGCTAGAGGAGGAAAAGAAGACTAGAATCAAGCAGGAAAACAGAGCTTTTGCTTCAATTGCTTCTGCTCGGTCTTTGTTCTCATCCATAAGACCAACTTCAGGAGTAACAGAGAATAGCTACAACAACAGCAAGGGAGGAGAGAGAAAGCCGCCTCTCGCTCCTCCTCCTTCGAAGCTGAGGGTGCCACTGCGTGGAATTACAAACTTACCTTCAACAGGTGACAGGGGAGCCGCCGCCACGTGGAAGAGAAAGGAGAACGTGGTGCCTACTAGACCCTCAGCCGCCGTCACCACAGCAATCCCACCACCACCATCAGCAGCGGCGAACAGCAACAGAATGAAAGCGCGGCGTGGTTCCTTCGCAGTCCGACCTGCTCCTCCGCCGGCGGAAGTCCGTCTGCCGAAGCGACGAGTCTCCCTCGCCACGCTCATCCCGGAACCAGGCATCTCATCATCGTCATCATCAACCATTTCGACTCCTCTCATGGCACAGCGGCGGCCTTCGTTCATCAGGAAGCAGAGGTATTCGAGGCTGTTCTCGCCATTGCCGGAGGCTTCCGGGACGCCCGCGCGGACGGTGGCGGAGACGCCTGCAAGGATGAGCAGCAAGTTCATGGGGAGCCCACCACCGCCTGGTTCGTGGAAGCCGAAGCATCCTACGGTGGTTGCGCTGCAGAGGAGGTCTCTGGTGTGGAGTCCTCTCAGGTTGCGAGGGGCGAAGAATAACGGTGGTGGCGCCGTCCGGCGGCCGTCTCTAGTTAGTGCTGTGAGGAGCCAGCATTAGCTGAAAAACTTGGATCGAAATTGCTGGTCATGGGAGGAAATGTCTTGTTGTTGCCGTGATTTCCCTCTTCCATTTCTATGACCATCCTTTACTTAAGGATTGTAATTCGATATTGCCTGATTGATGATCTTGTGTAAGAAGAGCATAGTGGAGGGATTTATATTAGAGTCCTGTCAATAGTTTCGCCTCTGATTCTTCTCCTTGTATGTTCAACTTAATCCGAATTAAGCATTCTATTTTAGTTCTACTGGCAAAAGTTCCCTCGCGATTGATTCGCGTATCAGAAAAATAGATATTTTAAGAGTAATTGAAATTGAAAGAAAAAAACCCACTAAAGGGTCGTTTACTGTACACGCACGCAGACACATCTTACTGTCCATCGTGACCCAGCGGTACTGTTTCAACTCGGAAGGGACTCTGGTGTGTGCGGGTTTACGGTGGTCTCTATTTGGTTCGGGACAGGACTTGGCGATCCCGTTGCGTTGTGACCAGAATTTGCCTACTGGTTGGAGTCCTTTCAGTGTCCATCACACGCAATGATCGCTCTGCACTGCACGTTTTTTCTCCTTCCCTTCTCCACCACACATTCCAGCCGAGAGAGAGAGAGAGAGAGAAGGGTCAAATTTCTCAACTTTGTAGCCTGTTTCTTTCTCGCTTATTTTCCATTCCTCTTTCAGTCTTTCTTCTCGACTTCTCTCTCTTTTCTGTCACATGACATCTCTCTATTTGGTAGATGGGTGGGGTTGAAAGCAAGCTACTGGGAAGCATATATTATTCGAGAGGGCCGGATAGGATTCAGAGCCATCGGTGATTTATCCATCTCTTCCGGTGAGTTTTCTTTTCTCTTCTCCGGCTCCATTCATCGTCCAGATCCGCTGCTACTTCCGGTGGCTTATTTCCGTTCGTCTGGCCTTCTTCTCGCTCTCGGCGAGTCATCTAGGTCATTCATCTTCATCCTTTTTCGAGTATCTCACTCTTCTTCTCTCTCTCTATTTTTGTTTTGGGTGTCTCCTCTCCAGTAAATGCAAATGAAGGGGATAGCTTTTCATCAATGGTCAGCCTGTGGAACCAAACGGTACGCTATCATACTTTCGTTTCTTTCTTTTTAATTTCCTTCAAGATTCCATTATTTAACAAGTCTATCGAGGGTTTTGAGAAGATCCATATATGTGGGTTCTGTATTGCAGGTTTCTCTTTTCTTTCATAGCTATGTTGATCTGATTGCTTATCGTTTTCTCTCCATTATTTAACAGGGCCTGCTCATATCATATTCCAGTCGGTTACGGCAACGGATATGTCGTTGTCGGTGATGGTTTGTGACTTTGTGTAGCGGAGGTCCCAAGGTGGCCAGGAAGTTGATGGGTTCAGTTTCTTCCGATGTGCTTTAGTCATATTATTTCATTTTACTTTGCTTGGTGATTTTAGGAAAGAGATCTGAATGTTGTCTCATGTGTGACTGACGATGTGGTTAGTAGTTTCTTCCTCATTTTTGTCCTTGTTTCTTTCCTTTCCAGACCTCGCCTTTTGTTGATTGATGAGTTCAATTCGTTCATAGGATTTTGTTATGTACTCACCTCATTCTTAGTTTCATCTTTGTTATATGCTTGATTGTTCTGACATGGTTTCCGATTACTCATCTCATCTATCCGGTTTTTTTCTTCTCCAGTTCCTTTCAAGCAATTAACAATTATAAATAGCTGGTCATAGATTGATGTTCTCTTAATTAACACTCTATTTCGTTTGTATTTCTGAATCTGGGTTCCTGGACTGTATCAAGTGAGGCATCACTTTTGGGCGTTGATTTCATTAACATCTCCCTGTCTGTTTCTTTCCTCTGAAAATTGTTCTCTTTTCTCTATAATATTTTGATTTTTCTATACCGGGTAAATGACACATTTGGTCACTAAGATTATTAAATTGTGTCATGTTTAGTCACTAGAAAAAATTAATATCAATTTTGGTCACTCGAATTACCGAAACTGGTCAAATTTAGTCACTCTCCCGTCAGTTTCCGTCCAACTCCATTAATGTAGTTGGATGGAAACTTTTGGGAGAGTGACTAAATGTGACATGTTTCAGTAATCCGAGTGACTAAATGTGACATTTTTCAATAATTTCAGTGACCGCAGTTGGACAGAGGCTACAGAAGAGTGACCAAATGTGACATGTTTCAGTAATTCGAGTGACCAATATTGATATTGAATTTTTCTAGTGACTATATATGACACGATTTAGTAATCTCAGTGACCAAATGTGTCATTTACCCTTTCTATACCTAATCGGTTTTCACTTTTCAAATCCAGTTACTCTTAGGGCTGAAAATTTGCCTCTCCCGTCCCTGTCCCGTCCCTGTCCCTGTCTGACCCGTCTCTGAAGGGTCAAGATGTATAACCGTCCCGTCCCGTCCCTGTCTCCTTCTTGACCCTGTCTGACCCTCAAGGGTTGGGACGGGACGGGACGGGACGGGCCGGGTCAGTGGGTCGACCCTAATCAACACACTACTTTTTTACAAATTACGTTTTGGTACCCGAAATTATTTTTTCTTACAATTTAGTACCTAAATTTTATTTTTTTACAAATAAGTCCATAAATTTTGATGGTAAAATAAAGTTTTGGTACCCATGTTTTTTTATTTTACAAATTAGTACCTAAACTTTTAAAACTTTACAAAAAGGTCCAATGAAGTATGAGATATTTGTTGTTGCTAAGGGTCACAGGGTCAAAATGTGACCCGTCCCTAAGTTGTCCCGACCCGTCCCGGCCCTTACAGGATCAACAAATGACCCGTCCCTAATCTGTCCCTATAGACAAACTGACCCGTCTATAAAAAAATATGAAATCAAATCAATTTAAATTTTAGCACCCATGTAAAAAAAAAAGCACAAAAGAATTAAATAAATTTACGTACTCTCAAAGCCTCTTCGTCCATTTTTTGCCGAAAAGCTAGCGAGAGTATCGACAAAACAACAAAACAAAAACTCTAGTAATTCTTTCTGATGCGGAAGATCGGACTTAGCCGCAACCACAGAGCATACTTAGAACGAAACTAGAGTGAAAAATGGAGGGAGAAAGAAGTATGAAGTGGTGGTGTGGTTTGGAATGAGAGGGGGGATGGGTATTTATAGGGTTTGGGGCTGGGAAAACACCTGGCCAGTTATCACCGCCCCAAACAAACACAGCGCCATCACCGCCTTTGTTGGACGCGGTGATGGGCAGGGATCGCTGACGTGGCCTCTCCTGATGCGTCGGATTGTGGAGAAAAACCACAATCCGCGCATAACTGCATCCGACGGCGGCGGTGAAGGCGCGGGGTGGGGCGCGGATCGCTGACGTGGAAAGCGGGGCTATCACCGCTTTGGTCTTCAGCGGTGAAGTGCCCGCGCGCGTCCACGTCAGCGATCCGCGCCCCTTCACCGCTGTTGGATCCAACGGTGAAGGCTTCACTGCCTGCCACATCAACGGTGATGCCATCACTGTCGTCCTTGACAGCGATGATGGCATCACTGCTTTGGTTCAAAGCGGTGATAACATCACTGCTTTTGTCTAAAGCGGTGATGTATCATCGTTTTAGACCAAAACGGTGATCAACATCACTGTCTTAGACAAAGACAGTGATGTTGAAACTGCTGTATTTTGGGAATTACTTTTATAAGTACTGTATTTTGGTAATTTTTTTTAATAATTGGTGTATTCTGGGATCTTTTCCAATATTTTGCATAAATAACGGGCCTCGGGTGTGCTCACAATGTGTAGCCTTTATTTTGCCCATTTCCAGAACATATAAGTCAGGACTTGAAGGGTTGAATTCGACCAGAGATTCAAATTTATTAACATTACTACCATAATTGATCGGTACTTTCTATTGTCGGAACAAAGAATTAGGTGTCGTCTGGTTTTGATAATATATAAATCGATTTATTGTCATCAGTGCATGCATAATGTATTCATAATAATACACGTGTATGTAAGAAAATTGATGTATTGTAGTTTACATTGTTTAATTTCTGTGATATTAACAATTTCTGTGATATTATTGTAGTATTTAAATAAATTATATTAATTTTTGGGTGAAATGTCACTTTTAACATTTGTTTGTAATATTAAAAAGCAACACATCAAAAGTTAGGGATATATTTAGAAGAAGAAAAGAAAACACAACAATCTCCATCAAACAATCTCAACAATTTTAAAGAAAACTTGATATTTAACTATCACTCATTTTGAGTGATAGTTTGTGTCAATACAAACAAACAATGTATGTATTGTTTGCGCAGAAAATTCAGAAAAACAATACATTGTGGGCATTGTATGCATTATAACTAACCCAACCAAGCTATCACCAAAACCAAACGACCCCTTAAACTTATTGTTTATCGAATCACAACATCTATAAGCACAGGAAAACAAATAAAAATGGCATTATTATATCAATTTGAATGATTGTAGAACCGCAACATTCTATGAATTTATCTCAAGTCCCGACGCAGAGCGCGGGCAATGAAAACTAGTAGTATTAATATTGACCCAAAGTGAAAGTAATCGTATTTCATTTTTAATCATTCTTTTTATAGGTTTGTTATTTAAAATAGCATATAGTCGATAAACTTGCATAAGGTAGATGGGTCGTCGAATAGATTATTTATGTTAAAACTTCTTTCATGACGCTAATGTTTCAATTAGTATAGCTAGTAGTTGATCCTGCTGTAACTTTTGAAGAATAAAGCAGTTTCTCTAGATCTTTTCAAGAAGTATTTAAAAAATTGTTGAGTGTCTAGCTGAAAAATTATCCGAATTACTTTCTAATATAAGAGGTATTAGAAAGCGGATAAAGCTCGCTCAAAATACAATACTCGTCAAAACCTTAGATTCGAGTTCAATAGTCTTCCCAACCAAACGAAGAAAAAAGAGAAATTTATAAATGCTAAACTCGGTTTCAAGTCGCTTTGACTGTATCGAATTAGGTTGGATACCCATGGATTTGGGTTCAATTGTGATCATGCTCATCAAAAAGGAAAAAGTGAAAGAAAATAACACTAAAGATAACGAAACTCGGTCTCAATACAAAACTTGCCAACATTGAGTTGATATGGTATGGATTTTCGGTAGCGTCATTAGGTTCAATTGTGATAATGCTCAACAAAAAGGAAAAAGAGAAAGAAAAAACACTAAAGAGGATGAAACTCAGTACCAATACAAAACTCATGGTAGCAGGCTAGCAGCCATGGGCAGTGGCGGACCCATAAATTTTATTAAGGTTATTCAACATAGACAAAATTTTATAAGGGCTGTCAAATAGTTTGGAATCCTAATACTACCATTATCAAACTAAAATTTTACACAGGTATTTTGTTCAAATATTACATTAAAGGTTTGTCAATTGACAACCCATTCTTGTGAGTGGGTCCGCCCCTGGCCTTGGGAAATGATGGTGGGGAACAACTTAGGATTTCACCGACAGTATTTTGAGATGAGCTGCAAAATGGTGAACAAAGGTGATGATTTGTGCAAAAAGTCATAGACGAAAACCTAGCAAACAATAACTAAACATAAAGGCGATAATTTGTGCAAAAGTCATAAACGAAAATCTAGCGAACAATAACAAAACACTAAAGAGGATGAAACTCGGTCCCGATACAAAACTCATGGTAGCGGCCTTTAAAAACGGTGGTGGGGAACAACTTAGGATTCTGCCGACAGTATTTGGAGATGTGCTGCAAAATGGTGGGCAAAGGCGATGGTTTGTGCAAAAAGCCATAGACGAAAGCCTAGCGAATAATAACTAAACACAAAAGGGATGATTTGTGCAAAAAACCATAGACGAAAACCTAGCGAACAATATAAAACACAAAGATGATGATTTATGCAAAATGTCATAGACGAAAACCTAGCGAACTATAAGTAAACACAAAGGTTGTAGAATAGAGAGTTGAGTAAAAGAAGGACTTGGAACTTCCCCACTTGAACTTGGAGGAGTGTGAGAGCCACTAATGAACAGTAACTCACATGTTAGGCTTTAATATATGAATTAATAATTAATTAATAAGTTACGGACTATACTTATGTAAGTAAATAACAACCAAATTTACGTGATTCACTAATATAATATGTGTTAGCTAATCTACAGGTATTGACTTTATTTGAGGAGATATAGAGATTGAGAAGGTATATATAATGTCTTCTCTAGACGGACTAACTTAATCCAACCTGGGGAAAAAAGTTACGGACTATACTTATGTAACTTGATGGCAGATAATCTGTCTTCATGTTATAATAACGTTATCTAATCTCGATTGTTCGTCTTAATTAAATTTAGATAATTTAGCTTTAATTTCACCTAAAACATAGTCTATATATAATTCTTTTTGAATTGAATTGGAATATAATTAGAGTTTTCACTCTTTGTATCTTGAACATCATGTTTCTTGCAATGAATTTGAATTAATTACTATTTTGTACGTTTAATTAATTATAATATCAATTGGCGGTGATCATTCATGTTGGAAAAGTCAATATGCATGCAGAATCCAAAATCCAACGGTCAAGAATAAGTCTACGTCTTATATTTTAGTAATTTAACTGTTTTCATATATAAATAAATTTTCCAAATATGAAAAAGGTAGCCGTTCGGCGGACCCAATTTAATCCCCTCTCTCTCTCTCTCTCTCTCATTATAGATTGGACCGTTGGGGCCGAAAACCCAGCAATATGACCCCCCAAAAGATCCGTTACCCAATCTCCCTTTCCTTTCTTCTCTTTCTTCCTTTCCCCAACTTCAAAAGACAAAACTGAAACCCCGAAGTACAGAGGCAAACAAGCTGAACACTTCCGCTTGCTTACTGCACCCGAGTTCGCAACTGATTCGACCCAACTCTGATTTCCCCCTCTTCTAATGGCTATTTACTGAGTGGAAACAAAGACCCACTTCAGGAGAAAATATATAGTATCCCCCATTCTTCCCCCTTAATTTCCAATTCAAAAACAATGGTGGCAAGAACCCCACCAAAGCAGAGGAGATTCATGGCTGCACCTCCTCTCAACCCTCTCCTTATTCGGGAAACAGTAAACAAGGTGAGGCTCTCTACATTTTTTCTCTCCCCACTTGTGTTTGGTTTCTGAGAAAGTAGATATGGGTGAAGCTCTGAATTTTCTTCCTCTCCCCTTTGTTTTCTGAATGTGTCCTGTTGATTGAATTAGGTGGATAAATGCATGGCGAGGTTGCAAGAGCTGCAGTACACAGTGACGGGCGGGAACAAGGTCGTTGCTTCCGGAGTTAGTCTGAGCCCCAGGAGTACCAGAGGGTATCTGAGGACTAGTCTCAGATGCAAGCAGGAATCTTTGAGGTGATTTCTCATCTGGGTTCTCATTTTGTTTTTTCCTTCCTTGTATTTTTTTCTTGCTTAGATTCTTACTTCCTCTGTTTCTGCTAATAGGATTAAGACCTCTGCAGCAAGGAAATCCCCCACTGGAAAGCTGCCTGCAGCTGCAGCAGGTAATCGGAGGACTATCTAGTGGAAAATCATGTTATTCGAGCCCTGTCTATCTAGTGGAATTCATGGAATCGGATTGTGAATGCTTTTGCCAAACTGACGGAAAAAGAAATTAATTGACAGGGGAATGGAAGAGAATGTCACTACCAGCAATGCTACTAGGCGAGACAATGGGGGAAATCCTACAAGCAAGCCAATTCGCCAAACAACTAGTGGCAGCAGTTAACCCTCCTCCTCCCGCCATTCACCAAGAAGACCCCAAAACTCCCCTGCCACAGCAAAGGAAGAAACCACCGCCGAACTCCCAGAACGACACCGTTCTGAAATCCAAACGCCAGAAGGAGAAGCAGCACCAGAACAAGCTCAATTCGATTCGATCGGAATCCGGTTCACCGCCTCCTTCGACCCACCGGCGAGCCCGGTCCAGAAGCATCAACTTCAAAGTCATCTCCCCTCCTAGAAAACGATCCGACAGAGAGAACTTGACCACAACAACCCATCATTTGGCTAACAGAGTTTCTCCCAGAAACAAGCCGTGGGGGAAGAAAACAGTTCTGTTCCCAAATCCTCTGTTCCATTCTTCCAACAATGCTGCTGCAACGACGCGACCTCGATCGCCGCCAATTTTCTCGAGAACCCATCAGAAAAGTGCTGCTCATAAGTTTCTGATCAAGTCCCCTGTCAAAATCAGTCCCACGAAAGATAGAGTTGGGGCGAAAAAGAAGGCTGCCGCCGCTCCATCGCCGACGAGGTTTTCGGGGACGGCCACGAAGCTGAGGCGGTCGTTTTCACCGTCGAGGATCGCGAATAGGTTGGCTTCGCTGTCGCCGTTGAAGGGCGGGAGGAGGAATAATGGGAGTGGTGGTGATGGGTCGATGATGGTGAATGGTAAGGTTAGTGGGTTGAAGCAACGGCCGCAAATGATGGTGGCTTCTTCTTTCTCTCCTCGGAGGTTCTCGCTGGGGAGAATTTGAGGTCGATGATGTAGTTTCGTATGAATGATTTGTTGAATTCTTTTTTGGTTTTGCCTAATAATCAATACATGTGTTGATTTGAGTGATGAAGTTTCCTCCTTTGTGCTGCAGTGTGATTCTGATGTGGATGTAATTTCTGATCTGTACATGTTGAATTTGAATGGGATGAATATAGTATACTAGCAAAAATTCATTCATTGTCCCTTTGCGTATAAGAAAAATAAATACTTTAAATTTAAAGAGTAATAGTTTTAATATTGACCTAAAAGTGAAAATAATCTTATTTCATTCTTAATATTTTTTTTCATAGGATTGTTATGTACAATAGCAAATGGTCGATGAACTTGCATAAGGTGGAAGGATCGTAAAATAAATTTTTTATGTTTAAACTAATTTCATGACGCTATTGTTTCAATTTGTATGTCTAGTAGTTGATCTTATTGTAACTTTTACAGAATGAAACAGATTTTCTAGATCTTTTGAAGAAGTATTTAAAAATATATTGTTGAGTATTTAGCTTAATAACTATCAGAATTACTTTCTAATAAAAGAGGTAATGTAAAATGACCAAAAATATATTTCTAACATAAAATATGAATACAAATTCTAAAAATTAAAAAGTATTTAAAATGGATGACGTTAAATTTATTTCATATTAAATAATACTATTTTAAATTTATTTTTTATAATGATATAAATGAAAGAAAATTATGTTTTCTAAATAGAGTAATATATGGTGACAATTTTGTATTGTCAAATCGAAGCTTATGTTTTTAAGTTACGAAAAACTTCAGTTTTTTAAAAAATTAAACTTTAGAGGTGTTTGGCTTGGATTCAAATTTTGAAACATAAAACTTCTAAAATTATGGCAAAACATAGCAGTACTCTTTTAGCTTTCTTTTTATTGTTTGTTTGAGGTAATCATGGTTCTCTTTTATGAAAATTTTGGACTGATTGCAGGTTTGAGGAGGTTCAACTTGCATTGATCGGGTTAAACTAGGTTGGATACCCATGGATTTGGGTTCAAATGTCTTTCTCGAACAAAAGGAAAAAGCGAAATGAAAAACACAAAAGCTAAAACTTGGTACTGACTCAAAATTCGTCAACCCCAGGTTCAACTCGCTTTGAACTGTTTGAACCGAGTTTTGGGCAAATTCACCACTGACACAACCCGCCAATTACAATAACAGATAAAACTCGCTCCTGCAAAAACCTGTAAAACCGGGTTCAAGTAGCTTTAGTCGGGTCGAATTAGGTTGGATACTCATGCGTTTGGACTCAATTGTCATTCTCAACCAAAAGGAAAAAAATACTAAAGCGGATAAAACTCGCTCGCGACCGCAAACTCTCAACACTGCATTCAACTTGCTTTGACCGGGTTGATCCAGTTTTAACAAATTCACAATTTATCCAACCTGTCAATTACAAAAGCGGATAAACTCGCTCTTAATCCGAAACGCGTCAACAATGGGTCAGAGTTCAATTGTCATTCTCAACAAAAAGGAAAATGAAAAATGAAAAAATATTAAAGCGTACAACTCGCTTTCGATCTAAAACTGGCCAACAACGTGTTCAACTTCCTTTGACCAATTTGTTAACAAATTAACACTTGGTCCAACCTGACAACTACAAAATCGGATAAAGCTGCTCGCAATACAACACTCGTTAATACCTTAGATTCGGGTTCAATTGTCTTCCCAACCAAAAGAGAAAAAAGGCTTAATACCCCATTTTGGCCCGAAGTTTGGCGATAGTGACGATTTTGGCCCCAACTTTTCAATAATACAGTTATGACCAACTTTTCAAAATATTGGACAAATTTGGCCTGCTATTTGAATTGACCGTCAAAACTGGCTGTTAACTATTTTTTCCATCAGTGAGTCAGCACGCTGCGCTGACTAGGCTTATCCATGTCATATTTTTTCTTAAATTAAAGAAAATTTGAATTCAAATAAAAAATAAAAATAAAAAGATAGAAGGGAGGGGTCACGAGGACCACTGTCTCCTCCCCTTCCCCATCTTTCACGCCTCCGTCCATTCTCGACCCAGCGAGTCCGACGATTCTTCCGTCGGCCGCCTGCCGTCCGTACTGCCTCCGCCAATACTTGTCTTCCTCTCCTCCGCCGCCTCTTCGATTTGGATATGGAACCCTAGCCGCCTCTTCTTCTTCCCTCTCCTCTGCCGCCTCTTCTTCAACCTATCACCGCCATCCCTCTCACGCTCTCAAATCCACTTCTTCCCCTCCATCGACCTCTCCAGACCTTCCTCCCAAACCTAACTCGAAGCTCGCCGTTGAGCACGCCGCGTGGGAGCGGGTCGCCAGCCGCTTGCCGTCCGTACGACGGCACGGAAGAGAGAGAGAGAGCACACAGTTCTATCCGGGATCGGCATATGCTTTTGATTTACTTTTTTTCCTTTCTCAAGCACACCATGCCCCCAGCAGCTCCTTTAATCTTACCATGCCTAGCGAACAACAATCTAGAATTATGGGAGAGGAGATTGGGAGTGTGTTCCTCTGCCGTGTCTGAGTAGCTTCCCAATTGGCAAGCAAGAGCCGACATGGAGATGGAGCAGATCACCAAATCTGAATTTCCTATGCAGATGGGAAGCGGCAGCTGACATGCAATCTTGGGCGCCTCCTTGATTGAGACCCTGGGAATCGCTTCCTCTAAACGATTCTGTAAGCTTGTGGGGCCTGAAGAACGAACCGTCGGTTGCCGCAGCAAGGAAGTGAAGAGCGGAGCGCCACCATCGACAGCTGCTTTTGTTTGATTGGTCAAAGTTTTTTTTTTAGTTTTCGGAATTTTTTAATATAAATTAATTATTACGTGGCAGCCACCTCAACACTAGAAGGTGAGTCACTAACAGAAAAAATCATTGACCGTTAGTTTTACCAGTCAAAATAAATTTTGGGCCAAATTTCTCCAATAATTTGAAAAGTTGGCCATAACTGTCTTATTGAAAAGTTGGGGCCAAAATCGTCACTATCGCCAAACTTCGGGCCAAGGGGTATTAAGCCAAAAAAAAGTATAAATACTAAAGTCGGTTTCAAGTCGCTTTGACCGGATCGAAATTGGTTGGATATCCATGGATTTGAGTTCAATTGTGATTACGCTTAACAAAGAGGGAAAAGTGAAAGAAAAAATCACTAAAGCAGACGAAACTTGGTCCCGATACAACTCGTCAACGTTGAGTAGATCTGGTATGGATTTTCGGTAGCGGCATTAGAAAACGGTGGAGGGGGACAATTTAGGATTTCGTTGACATTATTTTGAGAAGGTTGTGAATTGGTGAGCGATGTTGAAGATTGGACAGCGCATATCTAGTATGGATCTTTAGTCACAACCATATCAAATGGTGGAAGAAGAGGACTAAGTATTTCACCGACAGTGTTTCGAGTTGGATGAATGGTGCGAAAAGGCGATGATATGGGTTCAAGTTAGGATAGCCATGTGTTTGGGTTCAATTGTGATGTTGCTCAACAAAAAGAAAAAAGAGAAAGAAAAAAACACTAAAGATGATGAAACTCGGTCCCGATACAAAACTCGTGGTAGCGACCTTGGAAACGGTGGTGGGGAAAAACTTAGTATTCCGACGATAGTATTTCGAGATGAGCTGCGAAATGGTGGGTGAAGGCGATGATTTGGGTTCAAGTTAGAATACCCATGTGTTTGGGATCAATTGTGATCATGCTCAACAAAAAGGAAAGAGAAAAAGAAAAAAAACACTAAAGAGGATGAAACTCGATCGGCCCCGACACAAAACTCGTGGTAACGACCTTGGGAAATGGTGGGGGGAACAACTTAGGATTCCGCCGACAATATTTTGAGATGAGCTACGAAATGGTGGGCAAATGCGATAATTTGCAAAAAGTCATAGACGAAAACCTAGTGGATAGTTGCTACAATAGGAAGTTGAAAACCTAGTAGACAATAATTGTCATGGGAAACACAATGGACAATAGATGTAAACCTAGTGAACAATAGCTAAACACAAAGATTGTAGAATGGAGAGTGGGATAAAAGAAGAACTTGGAACTTCCCCACTTGGACTTGGTGGAGTGCGAGAGCCACTAATGAATAGTAACTTCAATGTTAGGCTCAGTATATTAATTAATATATTAATATTAAAATAACAAGTGGATAGTTGTTACAATAGGGAGTTGAAAACCTAGTAGACAATAATTGTCATGGGAAACACAATGGACAATAGATGTAAACGTAGTGAACCAATAGCTAAACACAAAGATTGTAGAATGGAGAGTGGGATAAAAGAAGAACTTGGAACTTTCGACTTGCACTTGATGGAGTGTGAGAGCCACTAATTAATAGTAACTCCAATGGTAGGCTTTAATATATTAATTAGGTTTTCTTTACCCACGCTCTGCGCCGGGATGGGTGTGCTAATTTAGTTATTATAGTTCAATTTTATGGATGACCTACTCAGATATAATGAATATGGTCAATGAGTTTATCTAATAAGAAATTCTTAATCACCCAAATTCAATGGGCGAGTATCGAAGCTTGAATCGGAGGCTATACAGTTGTGCATATCCTGATACTAATTAAAGTTACAAGGTGACTACTGTAGCATAAGAGTTTCTCTAACATGGTTTACTGTCATCTACTTTGGTGACCCGCCAGCTCTTCATCGACGCGTGGAAAGAACAGATGGGTTTTTCCCTGACACGTTTCTCCATCCTAAATCCCAATTTCCATCCATTGCTAATCAACTCCTTGCTTCTTCTAGCTTCTATGTTAATCTCCGGACTCACTAGCGGTTCCTTCTGGTCTTTCCCTCACTTCCTTTTCCCTATATTTTGTTTCTACTTGGGTCAAAATCCCTAATCTAACCAAACGGAGAGGAGGTATGGTAGGTTGGATAAGGGGAAGAGGGTGGTGGTGGCGACGGATATAGTGGGAATGCTGGGTTTTGGTTGGCATTAGATTTCTGGTAGATACCTAATACCTTTGTGTAGAGGTGGCAATTGGATCGGATTGGTGGATTGGATTGGTGGATTCATGGATTGGATCAAATGGATTGGTGGATTGATCCATGAATCCAAATGACATACAAGGCTTGGACCAAAATGTAAATTTTCAAAAGTTTAAGTACTAAAATGTCATAACAAAAAAATTTAGGTACCAAAATGTAATTTTCCAATGAAAATTTTCGTATAAAAAT